GTCAGGGACAAGTGCTTGCCTCCGTCTCCATCAAGTACAACTGGGGCTCGTACGGAAGTGCCCCAAGGTATATCGCAGACTTCCTTTCAGCATGTTTGTGCTTTAACTCACATGGATGACCAGCTGGGAGGTTTAATGGCTGTTTTGATTGATCTATTAGCTGGGTGATCATGCCTTCTGTGATCTATTTGTCTAATACTTATGTAGTTCTTCAGTGGATATGTTGCTTAGCAACTGGGTATGAATTCGGATGAGTGTTTCAGAAGCGCACCTCAAGAATCAATGTTAAACGACGTAAGGTGCAATTAGGGCCTAACGGGAGTGTACCACTGAGAAAATTCAGAGTGCCTTATAACTCGGTGGCATTTAGCGGGTAATCAAACATGCGTGCTAACACTTCATCGATTGGGAGCTCTGTGGTTGTTAAAGGAGACGAATCAAAATGTTGATCCGGTGGGCAAAGTGGATGTACATAAAAATATAGATGGGCATACTTAGGGGAGAACAACTGCAAACTGTGGCTACTTTGCACACAGGCTTGTTAAAGTTATATATAATGCTTTCTGGACGGAGGGGCAGCCCACAGGTTATAAAACGTTAACTTGACACACCGTGAGTCCGGTTTCGATTTCCAACTTGGGTGCAATGTGTGATACTCATTTCTGGTGTACCACGCCGTGGAGCATGCTCGATAATATCCAGGGTATACGTTACGATCACTCTCCACTATACCCTGGATGCATCCACGGCTTGGCCCGATGATTTTATTACTTACCTTGGCTGTCTTTTTATCCAATCAGGTGTCTACTCTGGGAAGTTGAGCGAACCAATCACAACTCACTTTCGCTTCTTAAATTATCTAACCGTTTAAACGTGGCAACTGAATTGATGCAGAGGTACTCTGAAAGAGGTAGAAGGAATTCTTTTTATATATTTTTTTAAAGTTTCAGATCTGTCAATTTGTCTGTATTATTTCCTCAAAAAATCTGAGTGGCACTGCGAACAAACCTTCGCGACTGCGACCGCTATCTTTGTTGACACTGGCAAGCTGGGATGTAACGGCGGGTTAGCTGACTGGCTACTGTGAGAATGCGGAGCCAGCAAAGGAAGGTAATATAATTATCGGGCCAAGCCGTGGATGCATCCAGGGTATAGTGGAGAGTGATCGTAACGTGTACCCTGGAGATTATCGAGTATGGCCGTGGAGTGCCTCAACCATCAACTAAAGCCGTGTGAAATCGATTGATCTTCAGCAACCCATGCTTATCATAAGAGACCACTAGCGGGATCAGGTGGCCAGTCTCGTTGATGCATGTCACCGTATCCCAAGTGCGCAGGTCGACGCTCGTGATGTCATTCACTGGATCGTCTGGCCCAGACCGGATAATTTACAGACCGTCGCCATATAGCTGGAATATTGCTGAGTGCGGCGTTAAACAAACCAAACAGAACCTAACGCTCGTCACAATATGAGCACTAGATAGTCCCATAGCAACATTGTCGGTCGCACCAGATAGCCCCATGCTATTCCTATCTGCCGTGCGCTCCTGTGACATGCTCCCGACCCCGTTCACCATCAGCCTTCAACATCAAAACTGTTCGGCAAATCTAGCGTGTCTCCGCAAACTTCGTAACGACAGTAATGCATTCCCTATTAGCTTAGATTGCGGTGCTGTCAGGCTAGTAATTATTATCAAACATGTGTTATAAATAATGAATATGAAAATCCAGTCGTGGCAATCTCCTAGAAACGCACATGCCGGCCATGATGACAGAGTCGTCCCTGCCGGCCTCACACCAAGTGTACGTATTGGCCGCCTTGTGACTGATGTCGATGACACCAGACAGACAGATTGCGGAGCATGGACCGTCATCTTAATGAAAACACCTTCGGGCCAATTCCAGCACATTGCGATGTTAATATAATGAAGCAAATGAAAAAGTTTCTTAGACTGGATGTTAAAGTCACAACACGATCCAGTGTGTAGACTAAGATTTTTAATGCTTGGTACTGTCGCATTAATTGGGTGTATTTGTCTTTTTCCGTGAAGTTATTGTCATCTGAATTATTCTTCAAAGACAGGTAAGCACGGGTGGATCAGTCTTCTAAGTCGTCGCAATTAGCTGTTCAGAGTTGTGTCCCTTGAGCGTACCAGGAACAAATGATCGTGGGTTCGAATGCCTGTTTGTGTGTCATGGCCTGTCAACGCCATATCCGTGCTCTTGATTTTAATCAAAGTGGTAAATATCTACCATTTGAATCACTAATCGGGTATCACGCCTGACACACTGTTAAACTGTGGAAATCTGGACCACGTGATCTCGACTTGCATGGGCTTTCTTGGATATACATTTGTATGTATTTGTTTCAGGGTCTGTATGACAGACTAACTGCTAATTAACTGCCACACGTTTTAAAGCGGTCTTAAACCAACTCACTCACCCATTGCATTGATACAAAATGGTTATGGAAGGCGTCAGTGATCCGTACAACACATATAAAATGTTGAATTCTAAAACTCAGATTTTGTCATCTTTTTATGACAATAACTCAACACTCCAATCGAATAAGAAAGAAAACTCTCCTGTACTGTCTAGACGAAAGAAGACCGTACATCTGATCTGACGGCGACTTCTAGACGCTAAGGCGAAGTTACTGCGAAACAGACCAGCCCCAAGAGTATATGGGAAGTATCATGTATGTTTCGCTCAATGTCTCGAGGCTCTATTGTTTCGCCCGGTTCCATGGAGATGTGTGATTAGGTGGCGGTGTGAAGGATGAGCCTCGATAGGAACGTGTGTTGGCTTAACGATCTGTAGGATGCAGTCTTCCCGGAGAGTAAGTTTGGTTTAACACCGCGTTTAGCAATATTCTAGCAATATCTTGAGGTGTCTGTCTGTCTGTCTGTCTGTCTGTCTGTTTAAGGGGGTGGGGGCACCAGAAATTGGCTTCACACATTATGCCCATGTGGAGAATCAAACCCGGATCGTCGGCGTGACGTGCGAGCGCTTGAACCATTAAGCTATCCCACCGTCCCGTTTCCATCGTGAACATTAATAGTGAGTGAGTGAGTGAGTGAGTTTAGTTTTACGCCGCTTTTAGCAATATTCCAGCACTATCACGGCGGGGGACACCACAAGTGGGCTTCACACATTGTACCCATGTGGGGAATCGAACCAGGCTCTTCAGCGTGACGAGCGAACGTTTTAACATCAGGCTACCCCACCGTCCCTTTTCCATCGTGAACATTAATAGTAGTGAGTGAGTGTATTAGGTTTATCTCCGTTGAGGGCAGTATTTTGGTAATGCCATGGCGGGGCAGACAGGCATTGTGTGACAGTGGTCGCATACGTTTCCGGGTTTGGTGCCACACATGAGGACAAACCAATAATACCCACGACGATTCCGAGATCCGAATGAACAGATTCTGACAGACAGGGGGATGACGGTTACAGCAAACATAACACCTCTACAGGGGTCACTTCTTAAAATGCAAACATCCATCTCACAAGTATTGTCACCTCCGAGATGTAGGCGCGTCAGTATATGGCTAACTATATTTATGTACATGGGTTCTTTAAACACGTGTGTTCTAAACACATCATATAAAGATGGTGGTTATATGGGTGAATGCATGCCAATGCGTCAGTATACGGCTAACTATATTTATGTACATGGGTTCTTTAAACACGTGTGTTCTAAAGACATCATATTGGTGAATTGATACCAATGCGGCGTATAATGTTAACTCACTCACCCACAAGGAGATGAAGGGAAAATAGTTGTCCATCTCACCTGAACCATAAAAAGTTCCATTCTACTCTACCCACTCTGTAATGCAAAAGCCGTAACATTTCTAGATTTTCCCAGGTTCTGAATCTCCAACCAGGGGCGTAGCTAACACTATTAAAAAAAGCCCGGGCTTACACATGATTCTTGCTAAAAAGTTGGGCAAGCCATCAATACTATCTAAATATAAAGCTTTGCAAACTATCGGACTTACACCAAAAACATGGCTTGCTACGCTCCTGCCCACCTTACTGTTTCTTCTTTTTAACATTAATAGAGTTACTACAAAAACTAGTCTCACAGACTAAGTGTTAATCTTGGGAAGATTTGTTTAGCGCTAACCAAATGTTCTGGTCTCGTAATATATGACAGTTTATACTTTTTAGAACAGAACTTTATTATCAATTTTGACTAAATTACCATGCATCATTCCTTCTGATCGTTGATAGTCGCGTAGGGAAATCTCCTGATAGTCGAGTAGAAAAAATATTCTTAGTTTGTTGGCAGAATCTCTATCTTATCTCGTTGATTTTTTATTTACCTTTATAATGGGAGTTCGCTATATCCACAAAAAGTCCATGTAATTTGCTCGGAAAATGTTGCCTAAAGAAATTGTCCTCGGTGAGTGATTGGGAAAAAACGGTAGAACTAGCACAACAAAGTACCAGCCTCCATAATCAACCCAACATCGGAATCATCCAGGACTTTGTCTAATCCTTGACTGCCTCCGAGATTTTATGTTCGCGGTTCCATCTAAATATACCTTGAGGCACGAAACCTAAGAACACAACACGACGCCAAAATTCAATAATTCCACAATGAGCCTAAATGCCACGACAGGATATAATCCAAAGCTCAGGGGTGCCATTTCTTCGTTCCATCTGCCCCTCACGCAACACAGTCTGTCTCTGTGTTAATTACTAAGCCACTAGGTGATACGAAACTCTCGTTTGCTATCAATCATATCATTTTCCATTCCAGCTAATGGCACCAACATTAAAACCAAACACTGTACCCGAATTACATCAGAATACGTCCTGAGGGTCACGCAGAAACAATCGATACTCACGTTCTATGTAAATATTTAAACATAGCATGTAAAACAACAATTATCCTCTACTGTAGTGAGCGTGAAAGCACCTCGACGCGTTACCACTCCTTGGAACTACACGCCTGAAACTACCGCGCATGCGCACTGTTCAACAAAACCAATAACACAGATCGCGTGGTCAGTTATAGGAAGCAAGTTGTGGAGAGGAGACATCTGAACGCGAAGGATACTCAACTTCGTTCAGCGTGTCACACAAACTGTACAAGGTTTAAGGTGAGTAGATATGTTTCCAGTATGGATGTTGAACGGATTTGGCAGACACCATCCTGACCGTGAACTGTGTTGTTTTCCAACTCGGCCGTGTGGACCGAGTCTCGTCTGTCACAGAGTTGCACTTTGTTTACAACTTTAGTGTCGACAGCGTATTCGATATGGCGGGACTGGCTGCTATGGGATTTATCCCCCAGCTATGTCAGTTAGGGTTTTGGACGGATGTTAGGATAATTAATCGATGTCATCGATTATCTGTAGTCAGACAGTGCTGGATTGATTACTATTGATACGAACTTTCTTCTCGGTCAGCGTGGAAGTTTTCCTCCGAGGGTTTACTTTCTGGCTCGTGGTTAATGACAAATACTTAAACTACAACTATCTTCAACAATTATATAAATTATATTTATAAAGAATTTTAAGATACGTACAATTATGACATTTCCAGTCAGTTATTACGCTTATAGTCACGACAAGACTGAAACACAGCCTAATACTCTAGCGTGTTATTGTTGTGTATACTTTTCAAATTGTGGCTTAGCAAACATCAAGAAGTTGGTGTTGCAATCAGCATTATCGAGCTATTTACCAGAAATGCCTAAGCATCATTTTTAAAGTGGCTTTCATATTCAGTATTCTTTGGATTCATCCACTTGCAATTTTCATAGAAGTGTGCCAATTATGTAACTCTATCAAAGCTATTGTGGTGTATCCAAATGTACCAAATAGAGCTCTTCTAACATTTTGAATTCTTGAGATTGCTGGTGGATTCTATCTCAATATTCGAAACTGCATTAAAAACTCATCTTTTCCCAATTGCCTTCTCAAAGCTACTCTAAGATTACTGTGTACACTGCTATTATTTCCAACTCTTGGTGTTTTCTCCTATTCAAGACTCTTTCTCAAAGGGTCGTTGAGCACCATATGGTGGAAACAAGGGCTATACAAATCATTATTATTAGCAGTAGTAGTAGTAGTAAGGGGTAAGTAGACAAGTATTTCAACTGGGAAAGCAATATGTGAGCAATTTGTCCGATCACATTCACAGGAAATTTTAATTATTACAGAACTTGAGATGTAGTTGGTTCACACAGAACTAGAACATTGGTTCATCGGGGGGGTGGGGGTGGGGGGACTAAAGACCACATTGAAGTTAATGTTTTGCATTGGCGGAACACATGCAGCACCCCCCACCCCACCCCCCTTTGAAAATTCCTGGATCCGCCTTAACCTTCCCTAGTTGGTCAGTTAACTCTGCTACCTGAACAAATTACAATCATGATGAAGTGTAAATTGATTATTTGGTGAAGAAATTTGCTTCCTGATCTGGCTTTTTAAATTTTCAAAAATATCATGTCAATCCTGTACCACCTGGAGAAGGGAGAAGATCAGCTCTGTTCAGAGACCCAGCTGATCTGTTTGCTGGACTCTAAGGCAGCAGCCTTGATCCTGCTGATGAGGCCATATGGTTTAGTGATCACACGATGTAACTGTTGTGTAGGTCCGGTTGCTTTATCAGTAACACTGTAAACAGACAATTAACTACTGACATCACAAATTAATTAGTGTTGCTTTCAAACAGTCAACTTTCTGATTAATAGTCTTAAGAAAGCAAGCATTGTTGCTAATTATGATTTTTTTTTGCAATTGATGGTATTTTGACAGAAACTAATATCTGGTTCAGCAACATTCGACTGTAACTCATCGGTTGTCTTCATAATGTCTGGTTTAACAAGGTTTGACCAACTGGTACCAGTACATAATTATGTGTATATCTGGTTTAACAAGGTGACTGTAGATTGTTCCTTTTCCATGTTGATGTTTGGTTTGACACAGTTTGACTGTAGATGGTACATTACTATCATATCTGGTTTAACAAGGTTTGACTGTAGATGGTACATTACTATCATATCTCTTTTAACAAGGTTTGACTGTAGATGATACATTACCATCATATCTGGTTTAACAAGGTTTGACTAGATGGTACATTACCATCATATCTGGTTTAACAAGGTTTGACTGTAGATGATACATTACCATCATATCTGGTTTAACAAGGTTTGACTGTAGATGATACATTACCATCATATCTGGTTTAACAAGGTTTGACTGTAGATGATACATTACCATCATATCTGGTTTAACAAGGTTTGACTGTAGATGATACATTACCATCATATCTGGTTTAACAAGGTTTGAAAGTATAGTATATTTAGGTTGTTTTGGAATTTTCTACATTCTCTCTTGAAGATTTTACATAACCTCATGTAGGTTTATCGACGGTGAAGATGAAAATGAACAAGCTAAAGTTCATTAAATCCCTCCCGGAAAAGCTTTGACAGCTGAGAATCTAAAAAATAGGAAAAATACCAAATAAATTGTAAGATTTAATTTTATCAAAGCTAACAAGCTCAAGATAATACCTGCTTTTTCAAAGACCTGCAATGAAGAAAAACTATAGTAATTAATTTACAATGGCGCAATGTCAGATGAAGGTGGAATCCATTGTTGAAGAAAGGAGATATCTGATCAGCATACAGAAGATTGTTTTAGGACGTCTTGAGCTGAATCTCATTGTGATACGAATTCATCATGATTTGTCGCATGCTGCAAACAGCCGAAGCACAGTTTGTGTCCAGATCAGTTGTAATTAAATCTCTACCAGATATGATCCTGATTTGGTCTCATTCCTGATTAGTGTGCGATCGTTAATGGTGGCAGATTATTCTGCTGGCTGGTGGGTGTTATTTCTTCTGGTTGTCAGTGTGTATTGTTCTACAGGTGGTTTAGTATTAGTTACTTGTAATTGTTACCAGTAATTTAATTAAAACCTCAAAACGCTTTCACTGCAATAAATTTTCTGTATTTAGCGAATCTAAATAAATTACCTTTGAAGTGTTAACATTAACAATGTCAGAGGGTGGAGATGCCACGTGTTTACTCTGCAGAGTTGCCTCCCTTAGTCATGACAGGATCTTATGTTTGTTGGTTTGAATAAAACCTCTGATGCAGCTCAGAGATTACAAATTCTTCTGAGGGTACCACATATCGCGTGTTCAAAACTGAACTTGTCCTTGAAAAATATTTCACATATATCCCTTTCTCCTTGGCTCCTAAATCTCTCTTGTTTAGAACTTCCTGCCATTGTTTACCTGTAGAAGTAGGTAGGTGGCACCAAATTCCACCTGAAGAAAGAATGTGTAACCTCTGCGACACATGTGATGTTGGCAAGGAATTTCATTAAATTTTTCTCTGCCCTTTCTTCTAACATCATTGGAAAACTTATATCCCAAACCATTATGTTAAAAAAAGACCAATGTGGTAAGATTTAATGAATTGTTTAACTGTAAACGAATTAGTGTTTTAAAAAAACTGTGTATATATTGTAGTACTATCATGAAAACTGTACAATCTTCCTTGTAAACCATCCCATGTATTCTCAACTGTATATTTGTACCTCTTATGCCGAGTGTCCCGGCCTGAGCATAATAAAAGTTCTGTTTTGTTCATGTTCATTGGATTGTGATCATCATCACACTGTGTGTTTTGTCTTTTTCTAAACTAACCTAACATGCACCATTATTACTGAAATATTATTCAGCATGGCATTATAACAAACACGTACATTCACACATCTGTTATTCTCAAGAATAACGTATACATTGAGATTATCCATCTCCTCTCCAAACACAACAGGAAAGTGTAATGGTAAACCAGTCCATCTGCCTGGTTCAGCTCCTCCAATTATGGCCAGTAAATGTCAGATCATGATTCACTTGGATCATCCACCAATGCCATGTATAGCAGAGTCATCAAAATAACCCCAGTAAACTGTGCTCCCCTCCAGTCGTCAATTTCAAATCTATTAACACTGTAACTATCAGCCTGGTGACCAGGAATAGAAATAATTACATTGAACTTAAGAGCGAGTCGAGATTCCATTTGGAACACACGGAATACTGTTATTTTGTAATCATCAGCAATGACCTCTCTGCTGAATTGATCACTGATTGTTGTCTTGGGTTTTAGCTTTCACCAGTAACAGGTCGTATAGTATTGATCCATGGCAAATTTTGTCATATTTAGATATAATACATTGATTTCTTCTCATGGTGGGTCCGGAGGTTGTAGCGTTAGGTTAACCAGGAAGTCGCAGGTACTCCAACATGTATACAGCCAGCAGCGATGATGATAGTTGTAATACTCACAGAATATTGGAGTCTGTGTAAAGGGTCAACCTTTGGTGTTGCTAGGCAACATGACAATATGTCTTTGTTTATGTAATATATCCGTATCGTCTCTGATCAGACATCATAAGTCATGGGAGGATGCTGTGAGCTATATAGCCTTGTCATGATCATGTTATGGAATTCTATTTCTGGAGATCATATGAAGATCTACGCAGAATTACTGATTATTTGTCAAGTGTGAATTCTGTTTGTAGGTCTGTTGGAGCTGCGGGGTATTTTCCACATTGGTTCATAGGAGTGTGGTTTTACCTACTAATAGGTATGCTCAGAATTTACGTTAGCTTGCTAGGTGAGGTGAGGTGAAATTGGGTTTAACGTCGTGCTTGAGAATATTTCGCTCATATGACGACGTGCATGCGTGTGAATGTGTATGTGCGGCTGCTTGTACTAGCCCAGACTGAAGCTGGTTTTATAGTGCTAGCCCACTGAGATACCCTGCCGCAGTGAAGCATGAATACCCCACTCAGACACATTATACTGACTTTGAGCGGACCAGTCCTTGTTGTACCCATTAATGCCGAGCGCCAGGCAGGGACCAACAAGTACCATATTTTAACGTTTTTGGGTATGACGCGGTCGGGGATCGAACCCGCGACCTTCCGCTCTCCGGGCGGACGCTCTAACCACTACACCACGGAGGAGGTACCGTTAGCTTGCTAGCCAGAGACTAGAAAATTGTGCCAAGGGCCAGCGATGATCTAAATTCTAATTATGATATTGCTTGTACAGCATTGAGTACCAAACTCTCAATCA